TGTGCTTTACATTCCAGAAGACTCGTCCATGCTAAGTGTACGATTCAATGATTTTCAGTACATTTGCAAGGTTGTGCAGCCTTCAGCAAAATCTAGTTCTAGAACATTCCTGCCATCCTAAAACGGTCCCTCCCTTCCACCAACAATCAATTCCCAATCCTGCCTCAGCCCCTGGAAACCACAAATCTGCTTTCCAGCACCGTAGATTTTTCTGTTTAGGACATTTCATGTAGGGGAATCACACAGCATGTGGCCTCGCATCTGGCTCCTTCCCTTCAGCATCATGCTTTCAGGTCTCACCTGTGTTGTAGCGGGTGTCTGTGCTTCGTTCCTTTTCATGGCTGAATGACGTTCCATTCTATGGATGGACCCCATTTTGTTTGTCCGTTCTTCAGGTGATGAGCATATGAGTTGTTTCCACCTTTGGCTGCGATGAATAATCCTGCTATGTATGTTCACATACAAGTTGTCGTGTAGACATGTGCCTTCGATTCTCTCGAGTCTATGCCTAGGAATGGAATTGCTGGGTCACATAGTGACTCTGTTTACCCATTTGGAAAACTGCCGGGTTGTTTTCATGGTGGGGGCACCATTTCACATTCCCACCAGCAGTGCATGGTGGTCTCAATTTCTCCACATCCTCGACAACACTTGTCACTGTCCCTTTTCTTGACTGATGCCATTCTAGTGGGTGTGAGCTGGTATCGCATTTGGATTTTGATTTGCATTTTCCTAGTGGCTGATGATGCTGAGTCACTATTCATGTGCTTTCGGCCATTCATATATCTTCTTGGGTGACATGCATATTCAAGTCTTTTACCCATTTTTTAGTTGAGTTGTTCATTTTTATGGCTTATTATTATTGCTTATTATTGAGTTTTAAAAGTTCTTCATATATCGTTGATACAGGTTCTTTATCAGATATATGATTTAAACATATTTTTGCCCAATCTGTGGCTTCTCTTTCCACTTTCATAATAGCGTTTTTTGAATCACAAAAGTTTTTCATTTTGATAAGTCCAGTTTATTTATTTTTTTAAATGAGTCATGCTTTTGGTGACATATCTAAGAATTCTGGCTAACCCAAGGTCATGAAGATTTTCTCCTACGTTTTCTTCTAGAAGTTCTATAGTTTTAACTCTTCTATTTAGGTTTATAATCTATCTTGATTCATCTTTTAGTATGTTGCAAGGTGCAGGCCTAAATTAATCTTTTTGTGAGTGGGTATACAATTATCCCAGCAGAATTAGTAGAAAACAGTACTCTTTCACTGTTGAACTGTCTTGGCACCTTGTCAGAACCAGTGAACCATAAAGAGAAGGGATTATCACTGGAGTCTAATTTTACTCCATTGACCTGTGTGTCTCTCCTCATGGCAGCATCACACTGTCTTGATTGCTGGAGCTTCATAGGAAGTTTTGAAAAGAGAAATATAAGTCCCCCAACTTCGCTCTTCTTTTTCAAGATAATTTTGGCTATTTGGGTCCCTTGCAATCCTGGATGAATTTTAAGATCAGCTTGTAAATTTCTGCAACCCATTCCCCCCTCCCCAATCCTACTGGGATTTAGACAGTGATTGAACTGAATCTATATATCGATTTGGGGAGATTTGCCATCTTGACCATATCGAGTCTTCCAATCCATGAACATGGAATATCTCCATTTATTCACAACATCTGAATTTCCCTCAGCAACGTTTCATAGTTCCGTGCACAAATCTTCCACTTCTTTTGTTAAATTTTTTCCTAAGTCTGCTATTCTTTGGGGGCTATTGTGATTGGAATTTTTTCTTGTTTTCATTTACAGTTTGTTGCTAGTGTGTAGAAATACAACTGATTTGTGTATTTTGATCTTGTATCCTGAGACTGTGTGAACTCATTTACTAGTTTTCATAGTTTCTTGTTGTTGATTCCCTAGGACTTTCTACATACAGAAGTATGTTGAATGTGAATAAAGACCATTTCATTTCTTCCTTTCCAAGTGGGAGCTTTAATCTCTGTCTTTCCTCTCTCGTTTCTGGCCTTGGCTTTGGTGCTTGTTTGTTTTTTGGCCGTAGTGTACTAGCTGGAACCTTCACGCATTGGGGGGACCTTGTTGTCAAATGCATAGGCCTCTACAATGATTTTATCTTCCTGAAGAATTGAGCCTTCATTCATCATGAAATGTCCCTCTTTGTCTCTAGTAATATTTCCTTTGCCCTAAAGTCTATTTGTCTGATATGAACGGAACTCCTCCAGCTCTCATGGCTATGTTTGCATGTGTCTCTTTTTCCATCATTTCATTTCAACCTACCTGTGTCTCGAATCTGAAGCATTTCTCCTGCAGATAGCACGGAGTTGGGTGGCGGTTTTCCAGCCAGTCTGAGAGTGTCTGCCTCTCAGTTGAAGTGTTTGATCCATTTACATTTAATGGAATTACTGCCATGGTTGGATTCACGTCTGCCCTTTTGCTGTTTGTTTCCTGCATGTTCCTCTGTTCCTCCTCTATTGCCTTCTTCTTTACTAAGTAGACACTTAGTTAATATTTTCTGCACCCTCTCCTCCTCCTCTCGTCTCAGACTCCCGTGTGAGGACTGAAAGGCCCGATTGTGTCCCACAGCTGTGAGGCTCTGCTCCTTCGTCCTCATTTTGTTCTGTCCTTCAGGTTGGATTATTTCTGTTGATCTGCCTTCAGAGCTTGCGGATTCTTTCCTCTGCCACCGCAGATGTACTGCTGAGCCCTTCTAGGGAATTTTTCATCCCAGTTATGGTACTTTTCAACTCCAGAATTTCCATTACGTTCTTTTTTATATTTCTATCTCTTTATTTTCTCTACTTCATGAGTCCCCCAGGGATACGTGGGAGCCATCAAGGCCCCCGTGTCTGTCTTGTTGCCTGGTTCTCCCTCTTACGCTTCTGGCTAGTGGGCGGCTCTGTTGCTCAGTCCAGCCTCAGGCAGCTGCACACTTGACCTTCCACGACAGCTTGCCACTGAGATGACTGCTATTTCCAGAGATTCTTAGGGGCTGGGGTTTCCCTTTCAGATAACAAAAATGCTATTTTAAACTAAAAAACCCAAAATTAATCAGTCCTCTCTTAAATGTGGGCAGACACAAGAAGCACCACCAATTGCATGATTCCATCTATAGGAAACATCCAGAACGGGTAAAGGACAGAGACAGGGAGCAGGTCAGGGGTTGCAGGGCCGGGGGAGTGAGGAATGGGGAGTGAGCGCTTTGGGGCAGGACTTCCTTCTGGGGAGGGAAAAGTTGTGGTGACGGTTGCACAGCATCGTGAATGGACTCAATGTTCATGAATTGTACAGTTTAAAAGGATAAAGAATTACATTTTATTTTATTTATTTATTTATTTATTTATTTATTTTAAAGACTGGCACCTGAGCTAACAACTGTTGCCAATCTTTTTTTTTTCTTTCTGCTTTATCTTCCCCAAATCCCCCCGGTACACAGCTGTATATCTTAGTTGCAGGTCCTTCTAGCTGTGGCTCTTATATTTAATTTAAAACATAAAATGAAGGAAACCACAAAAAAAAGGAAAAGAAAAAAATAAAATAAAAAAGACAAACAGAAACAATAACGGGGGAGGGGAAGGAAAAATTTCGTGGGGGCGGGGGTGGAAGGTGTGGCCCGGGGGAGGGCGACAAGGGAGGTTCCAGAGCCGGCTCCGCCTGCAGGGGTGGCGGGTCCTGACCTGCTCCAGGACTCCTTCAGGAGCGGCCCCAGGTGCCCGCCCTCCCTTCAGAGCTGCTGATGCAGCCGTGGGGCGCACCTGCCCCTCCCTCGGGGAGACGGAGCGGATGAGCCCGTCCACCAGCTCCTCACCCATCTCCTTGGTGGAGCGCTGCAAAGACAGTGACCGGCAGCCGGCCCCAAGCCATCAGAGCCCTGCCTGCCCTCGCCCCTGCTTCCTCTGCCCACTGACCTTCTCGTCCCAGCACAAATGTCCCCACAGAGGCCTTTTGGATCCACCTAGGGGCTCCCGGCCCTCCCTCCAGCACCTGCTTCATTTCCCTGTAGTCCCTGCTCTTCTCTTTCATGTGGATTTGCTTTCACACTTTGTCCCTCCCTCCTCCAGGCTGTGAGCTCCTGGAGAGCAGGGACCATGTGGGTGCCGTCCACCCCCAGGCCCAACACGGCCCTGCTCAGGGTGAGTGCTGGGGGCAAAGTAGCTGCAAGAATAAGGAGAGGATCTCAGAGCCTCCTCCCGCCTCTGAGCAGCTCACAATGTGGACAAGGATGCCCACGATAGAAGGTGCCTGTGGGGTTGAGGAGGGGGGAGCCCAGATTGACCCGTGGGTGTCCCTTCCCTGATCAGGTTGCTCCATGAGCACAGCGGGCAGAGCCCGCCCCCTGGTGGTCAGCCCCAGCACTGCAGACCCGGACCGGAAACCAGAAAACAGAACACACACCTTTGGGTGTAGTCTAGGCACTGGATCCACCAGGGCCCAGGGGCAAAGGGGCAGGACCTACAGGCTCCAGGGGCCACGTGCGGGACCTCGGAAGCCTCCCTTGTCCCCTCTTTCCCTCCACTGAGCCTGGCGTGTCCAGTTCACTCATGAGGCCTCCTCAGCCCAGCCAGGGCAATGACTCCGCCCCACTTCCAAATGAGGACCCCGAGGCTCCAAGGACGGCCTTGTCCCTGGTCCCTGGACAAGTGGCCCAGTGCTCTGCCACGTTCTGCACTACCCAGGTCCCAAGCCCCCAAGCCTCTAGGCTGGCTGCCCTCTGCTCAGAAGGACCTCCAGGGAGCAGAAAGCATTTCCCAAGGACTCGGAGCACATGGGTCATGGGTGGAGCACTAAGGTCACCAGAGCCTTCTAGGAGCCTGTGGGACCCTTGGGGTCACCTCTTCTATGCACCTCAGTTTACAGAGGAGTGAGCGGAGGGCTTCTCTCCTGAAGTCCCCCCCCCCCACACACAGTAGGGGCTCACATCCCACTGCCAGGCGCCCAGAGTGGTGGACACAAGACCTGGGACCTTGTCCTCTGCAGGCTGCTCTGGGGGTGGCCTGGCCCAGGCAGCCCCCTGGGCACATTGGGGACCCCCTGCCCACCAGCCTGGCATCTCTCCCCCTCCCCATGCTATGGGCGCTGCGTGTGGCTAGGGGACTGGATGTCCCTGCCCCACGGCAGAGCCGCCTCCAACCTTTCTTCTTTCCCCCGTCACTTCCCTAGGGTGTGCTCCCCTTCTGACCCCCAGCCGGGCAGTCAGAGTGTGTGTGTGTGTGTGTGTGTGTGTGTGAGTGTGTGTGTGCCCACGTGGGGATGCCAGAAGAAAGGGCCCCACGTGGGATGGTGTGGGCAGGGCTCCTCCAGGGTCTTAGGGGCTGTGATTCCCAAAGCAAACCCCATGGGAGGGTTGAGGCTGGCCCAGGAGGCCGGAACCCTCTCTTCTCCTCTGGACTCTGCCCCCCTCGTGGGTCCCAGACCAGACCCTGTCTCTCCTGGTCTCAGTTTCCCAACCGCCCCCGGAGGGGCTGGTGGTGAAACTGCCTCCGCCTGGCTCCGCGGAAGCAGCGGGGACTCTGTCCCCGCGTGGGTGTGGCGGGGCCGCGTTTGGGGGCGCTCGCGCCTCCCTCGGCAGCGGCAGGACCCCCAGGGGAGCTGGCCGCCGGCGCGCACGTGACCTCGCCCCGCCGCGCGCACACGCCGGACCAACGGCTCCGGGCGGGGCTGGGAGCCAGTTCCAGTCGTCGTCTAACTGCTCCGTGACTGTACGTTGGTTGGGGCGTTGGAAGACTTCCTGGATCCCTGTTGGGGCTGGTCGAGCGGGCTCTGGGGTGGAGAACTGAGCTGGGGGCTCCTGTCTCGGAGCAGCCTGCGCCCAGAGGCGGTTTCGGAAGTTTCCAACGCCGCAAGGACTGGCCTCCGAGCCCAGGAGAGGCCTTCACCCAGAGCTCACCCTCTAAGCCGGACTCAGGGGACACTGTGACCTCTTTGCTCTGCATCCTGGTCCCTAGTCTGGAGGTCTGCTCGTTCGTGTATGGAGGGACCATCTGGAGACCTCCGTCGCCTTGGTGAAGGAGAGGGGACCCCGCCCCCCCGCAGGCCTGCAGGTAGGAGAGTTGATCCCTGTCCCCAAGGCGGCACCACCCCACCGCCACGGTGCCCGCCCCCGTCCGGCACCCGAGGGAGGGACGAGCCCCTGGTGGCAGGAGCGCTCCTTCCTGGGCTAAGGGTGCTGCTGCCTGGCTGAGAAGACGCGTGCGTTTCAGCTCCTTTGTCATGAGTTGCTGCATTTATCGTGGGTTACCTTAGGGCCGCAGGGTCAGGACTCAGGTCATTTTGTTCAAATCGATTTGGGGGTGAACTGAAAATGGCAGCTTGCCCTGGAGTCTTCTCTTGTCCGGTAGCCTATTTTGTTTCTGTGTTGGGGAAAGAACTAAAATGATCTTATATTTTACCCTTTGGGAAAAAATAAAACACTCAACCTTGGCTTTTCTTTAAAATATATGGGAAGTTATTGATATCCTTCAGATTTTGCTTGAGGGTCACTTCATGGTAAAAAGCCAGCTTTCTTTGAAAATGTCATATTCTAATGATCAGCTCGTTTCTGGCAGAGGGAGGAGGGTTTTTCGTGGTGCCCCAATGAGAAAGGGCCCTGGACCAGATGGCAGAGACACTCCCACTGTATCCTTGGACCAGTCGGGCTCCCTCTCTGGGCCTCATTTCCTCATCTGTCAAATGGAGCTAGGACGGTGGGGCTAAGTTGTTTCCAGAAGTTCTTTCAGCTCCGCCAGTGGATGCCTTATGTTACCAGATGTTCCTGAAGCCATGAAACAGGGAATGCAAATAGTTTTTTTCCCCTTAAGGATCAAAAGCTAGCAAATATAAAAATCAGAGGGGCCCGGCTCTCAGATGAATGATTCGCACTCTCTCACGCCTGTGTGTCAGGAAAGTTCCCCGGGACATGCGCTGGTCCCGCTCCTTCCGTCTCCCCAGAGTTCGTGTGGAGCTTGGGCACTTTCACTAGTCTTTCCGGAGGAACTGTGTCCCACCTGACAGGTCCCTGAATATCACCCCCATGAGTCCTACTCGCTGATTCCGAGTCCGATGTTTGACCATCCTGTCTCCAGCGCTGCTCTGGGCAGGTTTCTAAGGCAGCCTCAGTGCCTCGGTCCAATCGAATCAGCGCGAACACATCACCATATCCACCCATGTTTGCTCCCTTGGATTTATTTCTCACATGGAATAGCTTCTTTGAAAATCAAAAGATAAAATTTCCACTCTGCGCTCTGCCGGTTACCTTCTTGCCAAGACAGACACTTGAAGCTGCACCTGCTTTACCCTGGGGAGGTCGAGGCATTGCATCCAAGGTGAAGTTTAATTAGCGAGAAGGTTGGGGGGAGGGCTGCCTCGCCCATGCTGCTGGTGGAGCCAGTCTGCACCCCGCTGGCTGCGGCCGCACCGCCCGCCTTCCTTTGCCAGGAGGTCTTCCCCCATTTCCCTGGGGGTGGGTTGGTGGGGCTGTGAGCCCTGTCCTTTGAGTCGGTTGGGGTTGGGACAAGTGCCTGGTCCTGCTTCTCCGGAGACAGAGACACATCTCAAGGTTGAAAGGAAAGAAAATTACCTTTCTTTTTATTTTTAAAAACAGCTTTCTTGAGATACAGCTCACATGCCATGTAATCCACCCATTTAATGTGGACAGTTCAGTGGCTTATAGTGTATTCACAGAGCTGTGCAACTGTCACAATAGAACATTTTCGTCACCTCGGAAGCAAACCCTGCACCCGTCAGCAGTCACTCCCATCTCTCCTCATCCCCAGAGCCCCCGACCACCACGCATCTACTTCTTCTCTCTATTCGTCCATTGTGGACCTTTCGTACACACAGAGTAATACAACGTGTGGTCTTCTGTGATGGCCCCTTTGTAGAGCGTGTCTTCAAGGTCCGGCCGTGGTTGTAGCACGTATCAGTAATTCATTCTGTTTTATGCCAAATAATTTTCCGTCATACAGATGTACCGTATTTTGTTTATCCATTCATCAGTTGAGGGACATTTGGGTTGTTTCCATCTTTCGGCTATTATGAATAATGATGCTGTGAACATTTGTGTACAAGCTTTTCATGTATTTTCCTTTCTCTGGGGTGCATACCTAGGAGTAGAACTGCTGGATCAAATGGAAACTCTTTGTTCAAATTTTGAAGAATTGCCAGATTGTTTTCCAAAGGGCTGCACCGTTTTTTATTTCTGCCGGCAATGTATGAGGATTCTAATTCCCACCTCTCCTTGCCAACACTTCTTAGTGTCTGTCTTTTTAATTACAGCCTTCCTAGTGGAGGGGAAGTGGTACCCCATTAACTGTGGTTTTAGTTTGCATTTCCCTCCCTAATAATGATGCTGAACATTTTTCACGGGCCTCTGGGTCGCTTCTACATCTTTGGAGAAATGTCTGCTCAGTTCCTTTCTGCATTTGTTGATTGGGTTATTAGTTTCCTTGTTATTGAATAGTAGGTCTTCAATATATATTCTACATGCACGTGTCTTATGTATGATTAGCTGGCGTTTTGTCCTGCTCGGTGGGTTGTTTTCGCATTTTCTGGATACTGTCTTTTGATACATACACGTTTGTAATTTTGATGAAGTCTAGTTTATTTATTTTATCTTTTATACTTGTGCTTTTGGTGTCCTATCTAAGAAACCATTGCTTAACTCAAGGTCAAACAGTTTTATTCCCACACGTTTTCCTTTAAGAGTTTATGGTTTTCTCTCCTATTTAGCTGTTGGATCTATTTGAGGTCATTTCTGCAAGTGCTGTGAGGAAGGAGTGCGGCTTCTTTCTTCGTCTGTGAATATCCAGTTGTCCCAATACCATTTGCTGAAAAAACTGTTGAATTGTCTCATCATTCATCAAAAACCAATTGACTGTAAATACGAAGGTTTATTTCTGGACTCTCGATTCTGTTTCCTTGATCTGTATGTCTGTTTTTACGCCAGTACTGCACTGTCTTCACCAACGTAGCTTTGTAATGAGTTTTGAAATTGGGAAGTGTGAGTCCTCCGTCTTTGTTCTTTTGTTCAAGATGGTTCTGGGTGTTCTGGCTCCCTTGCAGTTCCATATACATTTTAGCATTGGCTTGTCTGCAGAAAAAGGCAGCAGGACTCTTGCTCGGGACCGCACTGCGTCTGTAGTCCTGTTTGTGGAGCGTCGCCACCTTGACGGCATGAAGTCTTCTGATCCGTGAAGAAGAGAGGTCTTGCCACTTATTTTGGTCTTAATACTTTCAATAATGTTTGTAGCTTTCACCGTGCAAGTCTTGTACCTCTGATGCTGACTTTATTTCTAGGTATTTCGTTGTTTTGGATGCTGCTGTGAGTTAGCTGGCTTTCTTACTTTCATCGTCAGTGTTTTCATCGCTGTGTATAGAAATCCAATTGATTTTTTAAAATTGACATGTAATATTATATTAGTTTCAGGGGTATAACATAATGATTCGACACATGTATAGATTGCCAGATGATCACACAATAAGTGTAGTTAACATCAATCTCCTCACATAGTTACACATTTTTTTTCTTGCGATGAGAACTTTTTTTTTAAAGATTGGCCCCTGGGCTAACAACTGTTGCCAATCTTTTTTTTTTTCTTTTCTGCTTTATCTCCCCAACCCCTCCCCCCCCCCACCCCCGTACACAGTTGTATATCTTAGTTGCAGGTCCTGCTAGTTGTGGGATGTGGGACGCCGCCTCAACGTGGCCTGATGAGCGGTGCCATGTCTGCACCCAGGATTCGAACCCTGGGCCGCCGCAGCGGAGCGCACGAGCTTAACCACTTGGCCACGGAGCTGGCCCCGCGATGAGAACTTTTAAGATCTGCTCTGTTAGCAACTTTCAAATATGCAATACAGTCTTGCTAAGTGTAGCCACTGTGTTGTCCATTACATCCTCGGGACTTGTTTATATTATAAGTGGAAGTTTATACTTTTTGAGCCCCTTCGGGAACCATTTTGCCCACCTGCCACCCCCTGCCTCTGGCAGCCACCAATCTGTTCTCTGTAGCTATGAGCTTTTTTTTTTTTTCCCCCAGATTCCACATATAAGTGAGAACGTACAGTATTTGTGTTTCTTTAACTTATTTCACTTAGCATAATGCCCTCAAGGTCCATCCATATTGCTGCAAATGGCAGGATTTTCTTCTCTTTTTGGCCGAATAATATTCCATTGTGTATATACCCCATTTCCTTCCTCCGTTCATCCATCGAGGGACACTTGGGTTGCTCCCATGTTTTAGCATTGTAAATAATGCTGCAGTGAACATGGGGGCACAGATGTCTTTTTGAGTTAGTGTTTTCATTTCCTTTGGATAAGTACCTAGAAGTGGGATTGCTGGGTCATACGGTAGTTCTATTTTTAATTTATCGAGGAACCTCCATACTGTTTTTCACAGTGGCTGCACCAATTTATTTTCCTGTATGATTGATTCTTTTTGTGTTGATCTTGTATCCTGCAACCTTGCTGGCCTGGTTTATTGGCTCCAGCAGTTTTCCTGTGCACGCTCTATGATTTCCTGTGTGCGTGGTCATGTCGTTTGCAAGCAGGGGTAGTGTTACTTCCTCCCCTCCAATCCAGATGCCTTTCATTTCGTTTTCTTGCCTAATTGACATGGCTAGAACTTCCAGGAAAGTGTAGAACAGAGTTGGTGAGAGTGGCCATTGCTCAGCTGGTTCCTGACCTCAGGGGCAGGGCCTCCAGTCTTCCCCACTAGGTGCGGCGGACGCGAGCTGTCGATTGTCCATGGACGCCCTCTACCAGGTGCAGGAGTTCCCTTCTGTTTCTAGTTTCTTCGGTGTTTTTATCATGAAAGGGTGTGGATTTTGTCGAATGGTTTTTCTGCACTTAGTGGGCATCAGCTTTTATAGCAGCTTTTAAACCATGAAATCGTCTTTCTTTCCCTTTTCCTCTGTCTTTCTCCCTCACACACACACACAGAACCTCGCTGGGAGCAAAGCAGATGATTGAATGTGTCAACCTAAGCAAATTTGCTTGTTACTTTACCTCGAAATGAGTTTGTTTGGGAATAGCCGAAAGAATTGCAATTCGGGACAGGCATGCTATGGCGAACCACAGGCAAATCCAGCAAACCAACGAGGCAGCTGCTTTTATAGAGAAAAGGGGCAGAGGGCGGGGCTGCTCTGAAGGAAAGTCCGCTGGGGAGAGGAACACATCAGGGCAGGAAAGGCTTCTCATTGGCTGGGCTGTGGTGTTTCTGATTGGCTAAATTGTGATGTTTCTGATTGGCTTGGCTGTGGCATTTCTGATTGGCTAAATTGTGATGTTTCTGATTGGCTTGGCTGTGCCATTTCTGATTGGCTAAATTGTGATGTTTCTGATTGGCTGGGCTGTGCCATTTCTGATTGGCTGGGCTGTGGCGTTTCTGATTGGCTGGGCTGTTGCTGGGTGGGAGAGAAATCTCCCTTCAGTCGTAAGTAGTTGTACTTCCTGTGTGAGTTGTAAGTGTGCATCTTTTCCTGTTTGGTGTAATTGATGACATGTGATGAGGCCTGAGAACTCCCCCTTCAAACCTTCCCGACTCCAATTTAGTCAAAGTTTCTTTTATTAATTTAATAAATGAATAGTCTAGCCCTCTTGGTCACAGCTCTCCTTGCCCTGGCGGCTGTGTCACTGGGGGCAGGGGGCCCGCTCCAGACAAGTGAGGACTAGAAGTTCACGTGTTAATGATGACTTCCAAGGGTGGTGGCTCCCTCTGGCATGCATACACCACCATTTTCTCTTCCCTTTCCTGACTGTACGGTGAAAATATCCAGCATTAAAGGAGAGGATTTTGCAGGAAATGGCGCATACCGGTGTGTGTGCTGAAAGATAACAATACATAGGCAAAAAACTTGACATACCCAAGAAATGTGTTAAAGGGAATGTAACATATTCTGTGCAGACCTTTCTGGTGTGGAAGTCTGCATTCTGAAAATACTGGTTTTGGTTTATTTTCTGAGGCCTCTTCTATCCCCTTTCTCTTCCAGGAGTCTGGGTGCTGACCACATTGTTGGCTGGCCTCACTGTGTGAGCCTTCTGTTCCACGTTTTGGCCTGTTACAGGTAAGAGGCCTTGGGGACACTTGCCTGTCTTCAGCCGGGCCTTTCTCAATCCCTGGGCGGTGCCAGCAGAGCCTGACATGTAATACAAGGTCTGGGTTGGACAGACGCTTCGTCTGCAAATTTCCTGTGGCGTTGGGGTCTACAGCCCTTAAATAGCAGTGACTCTAATGTGGAAACGGGAAGGACAGAGGGATTCCAGCATTGTGTTTGTTAGGGGTCTCCCAAGAAAGCGCCAACAGGATACATATGCGCGTGCACACACTCACAGATGTGGGTCTTTGTGTGTCTGTGTGTATATGGAGGAAGAGAGAGGGAGAGAGAGGGAGGGAGAGGGAGGGAGAGGGAGGCTGATTTTGCTGTCTCGGCTCGTGTGACCCCGTGGCCGGCAGGTCGGAATCTGCAGGCCAGGCTTGCAGACGGGGGTCTAGATGCTGTTGTCTGGACGCAGATTTTCTTCTCCGGGAAATCTCAGTTTTTGCTCTGAAGGCCTTCAGCTGGTGAGGCCCACCCACACTGTTGACAGTAATCTTCTCTACTTAAAGTCAGCTAACTGTACGTGTTAACCACATCTACAAAATGTCTTCACAGCAACACGTAGATTAAATGCCTAGTTTGAGTCAGTAAGTGCATACTATAGTCTGGTCAGGTTGACAGATAAGACTAACTATCACAGCCCACGCTCCCTCTTCTTGGCCCCACCCACATCTCCTTTAGCTGCATTTAATCTACAAATAAGACAGTAACAAAGTCCTTCTTCCACCTCACCTGGGACTGCTATCCTGTGTACAACTCAAAACACACAAATACTCTGCCCAAGGAGGATGCCGAGTTCTTGGGTGATGTTCACTCCTGATATCCTGTCACTTAAATACTGTCATGTGAAGTTAACTATTATTGACACATCTTATCTTATACATTATGTTATATAATAAGAAGATAAGGAAGAGAAGAAAAGAAATGTATCTGATAGATGCGCACACTGCCCACCGTCTGGGAAGACTTTCTAGAGGGGATTCTTGGCGGGGGCTTCTCTGGAAGGCAGGGGGATGTGTTCTGTTTTTGGAAGGGCACATGGAAAGGCAGTCATGTGGGTGAACTTTTGTCCTCTTGCAGCATCAGTGCCAGCTCTAAAACAAGCTCCAAAGCTAGTGCCGGCTCCAGCGCCAGCTTGACCTCCAGTTCCGGAGCCAGCACCACCTCCAGTGTCAGATCTCACACGAGCTCTAGTACCAAATCTGGAGTTAGAGCCATTTCTGCATGAGCCCAACAGCTAAATGTAGTACTGCCTACAGAGCTAGAGCCAACTCCAGCACTAGCTTTTGCAGCAGTTCCAGCTCCAGTGCCACTTCCAAATTTAGAGCCAGTGCCAGCTGCAGAGTCACAGCCAGCTCTATCACCAGATCTAGCATGAACTCCGGAGCCAGAACTGGTTCCAACATCAGCTCATGCAAAAGCCCTAGAACTACAGCCAGCTCCAGAACTATCTCTAGCACCAGCTCCAGGCCGAGAACCATCTTCAACACCAACTCTATCACCAACTGCAGAGATAGAGGCAGCTCTATCATCAACTTAATTCTCGGCTCCAGACCAGCTCTAGAGTTTGAATCAGAGTTAACACAAATTCCAGAGTAACAACAACAGGAACCAAACTAGAGCCTGCTCCAGTACCAGCTCTGGCAACACTCTAGAGCCACAAGCAGCTCTAGAGCTAAAGCCATCTCTAGAGCTAGTGTCAGTGCTAGAGCTAGCTCTAACACCAGCTTCCAAGCTAGAAAAAGCTCCAGTGCCAGCTCCAGAGCTAGAGCCAACTCCAGCACAATGTCAAAAGCTAGAGCTAGCTTCAATACCAGCTCCAGCACTCAAGAGGCTGAGTGATCTCTGGACCCAGTTCCAGTCAAAGCTCCAGACTCAGAGCCAATTCCAGCACCAGCTTTAGAGACTGATCCACTGCTAGATCCAGTTCCACTACCAGCTCCAGAGCTAGAGCCATCACTGGCTCCATAGCCCGAGCCAGCTCCAGCACCAGCTCTACCAACAGCTCCAGCACCGGAGTTCAAACCAGCTCCACAGTTAGAGCCAACTCCACTTGCAACACTTGCATCAACTCCCGAGATAGAGACAGCTCCAGCGTCAGCTCCACTGCTGGTTTCATTTCAGGGCTGGTGTTCTTCCATGAGCTAGAGCTAGCTTGAACACTAGCGAAGCCCCAACTCCAGAGATAGGGGCAACTCTATCGCCAACTCCTGTGCCAGCCCCAGCGACAGTTCTAGTGCTCACTTTAGAGTAAAAAAGCCAATTTAGAGCCAGTGCCAAGGAGGAGTCAGCTCCAGCCCCAGCTCTAGCATTGGCTCCAGAGTTAGAGCCATTCTTGGCATCAGCTCCAGAGCTAGAGTCAGCACCAAGTTCATAGCTAGAGCCTGCTTCAGCAGCAGTTCCAGAACCAGCTTCAGAGCTAGAACCCCACAAGTGCCGGCTTCTGCACCAGCTCCAGAGCAAGAGCTGGCTTGAATACCAGTAGCAGACTTAGAGCCAGTGCCAGCTGGGGAGAAAGAACCAGCTCCAGCAACAGCCTAACGCCAACATCAGAGCTAAACCATGCTCTGGTACCAACTCTCCCACCGATTTCAGAGATAGAGGCAGCTCTATCACCAACTCCTGTTCCAGAGCCCGCCCCGACACCAATTCCAGAAGTGGAGCCAGCACCAGAGCTACAAACAGCCCCACCACCAGAGCCGGGACTCGCTATTCAACTAACTAGAGCCACAAGAACCAGATCTAGCACCAGAACCAGAGTTAGAGCCAGCTCCAAAGCCAGAGCCAGCCCCAGCCCCAGCACAAAAGATCAAGCCAGCTCTGGCGCCAGCTTCGGAACTAGAGCCAGCGCCAGCCCAACAGCCAGAGCCGGCTCCAGCACCTGCTCTCACCCCAGGGACAGCTCCTGCACAGGTCCACGGCTAGGTCCATCACTAACTCCAGCACCAGCAGTAAGAGTAGCTCTATAGCTACAGCCAGCTCCAGTAGCAGATCCACAGCTAAAGCCACTCCAGCACCAGCTCTAGAGCCAGAGCCAGCTACAGCAATAGCTTGAGCACCAGCTCCAGTGCCAGAGTTAGAGCCAGCTCAAGAGCCATATCACACTGCAGAACCAGGTCTGCACTGTCTCTGGAGGTAGATCCAGCTCCAGCACCAGCTCGAGAAGGAGTCCAGGACATCACCCTCGTGGGTGGGGCAGGCCTGGGGCTAAGGGGCAGGACATTCCCTGCCAGGCAGGTCACTCCCAGGTTGCCTCGACTTCCAGCTCCTCCTCCTCTCTCCCTCCATGAGGTCTCAGCCCCAGGGTGTCCGCAGCACTGCTTTCCCAGACAGGGCTCAAAGTTGACAAAGAGAACTCGGGTGTTGGAAACTGTGGCCAATACCTTAAAAACTCTATACATTTTGGCCCAGAACTCCACTTCATGGATTCTGTCCTAAATAGAGATTTCTGGATGCAGATGTTCCCTTCAGCACGATGCTGAGAGTGAAAAATTGGAAATGGCCTGTGTTCCACAGCAGGGCTCTTTTTTTTTTTTTTTTATTGAGTTATTGATAGGTTACAATCTTGTGAAATTTCAATTGTACATTAATGTTTGTCAGTCATGTTGTAGGTGCACCACTTCACCCTTTGTGCCCACCCCCCACCCCGCCTTTCCCCTGGTATCCACTAAACTGTTCTTGGTCCATAGTTTTAAATTCCTCATATGAGTGGAGTCATACACAGATTATCTTTCTCTTGCTGGCTTATTTCATTTAACATAATTCTCTCAAGGTCCATCCATGTTATTGCAAATGGAATGATTTGGTTCTGTTTTGCAGCTGAGTAGTATTCCATTGTATATATGTACCACATCTTCTTTATCCATTCGTCTGTTGATGGGCACTTAGGTTGCTTCCACGTCTTGGCTATTGTAAACAGTGCTGCAATAAACATTGGGGTGCACAGGACTTTTGGGATTGCTGACTTCAGGCTCTTTGGATAGATACCCAGTAGTGGGATGGCTGGATCGTATGGTAGTTCTATTTTTAGTTTTTTGAGAAATCTCCATACTGTTTTCCATAGTGGCTGCACCAGTTTGCATTCCCACCAGCAGTGTATGAGGGTTCCTTTTTCTCCGCAACCTCTCCGACATTTGTTGCTATTAGTTTTAGATATTTTTGTCATTCTAACGGGTGTAAGGTGATATCTTAGTGTAGTTTTGATTTGCATTTCCCCACAGCAGGGCTCTTTTTGAATTCTGATGCTGGGCCACAGAAAATACAAAGGAGGAAGAGGATTGACTGGCAGTGTCCCCCTGGGGAAGCCAGACTTTGGGAGAGCACATGCCCTGGAATCCTCCCTGCCTCACACCCGCAAGTGCACACACACATGCACACACGTGCACACACTGGGCGAGAATTCCTGGGAGCTGAACTGGGACTCGCGCTGCCAGCAGATGCGCGCCTGGGACCCTCGATGGTCCTGCACATGTTCTCCAGAGAGGACGGTCCTTGCACGCTTGTCTCTAGGGGACCTGCCGGGGCCTCTGCTTCCTCACGTTGTCACTGCAGCTGGTCGCCAGCAGCCTAGCAGCCCGCCAGTCTGACGGAGCCCAGTGCTGTCTCCACAGTGTCCGGGGCGCGTGTCCTCGTCGGGGAGGTGGAGCAGCTCTGACGCGTGCGCCGTCTGCGTCCCCTCTCGTTGGAACTGCCCGGGTTTGCTCTCTGTCCCTTCTGGAAACATTGGCTTTCCAGAGTTTTTGGACCGCGGGGATGTGAAACCTTTCCCTGGCCTTGGGTTGTGAGGAATGCTCTTCAGCTTGTGGCTGGTCGTTCCAGCTTTCTACGTTTTTCTTGTTTCTGTTTTGGCCACAGGAAGAGCCAGGCATTTCCTGTCTGGCTTCTGGCTCTGGTGTCACTCTTAGAACAGTGTCTCATATTCCCCATAGGGCTTCACTGTATACATCTCATCTTTAACCCATCTGGGATTTCCCTTCCAAATAATAAAAATGCTATTTTAAATAAAAAAACAAAAATTAATCAGTTCCATTTACAGGAAACATCCAGAACAGGTAAAGGACAGAGACAGGAAGCAGATCGGGGTTGCGGGGCCGAGGGAGCGAAGAATGGGGAGTGAGCGCTTTGGGACAGGGCTTCCTTCTGGGGAGGGAAATACTCTGCAGCTAGACTGTGGTGATGGTTGCACAGCATTGTGAATGGACTCAATGTTCACGAATTGTACAGTTTTAAAATGCTAAAAAAATGAAATTGTATTTAAATTTCAAATCATAAAGTATAAAAAACCATAAAAAAGTAAAAGGAAAAATGAAATTGTTGCCGAAACCATAACAGAAGAGGGACAGGAAGGGTCTGGTGAAGGAGCGGCTGGGAGGAGCGGCTCAGGGGCTGGTGGAGACGGAGGGCCCAGAGCTGGCTCTCCCTCCGGGGACGGTGAATTCCGAGCTGGCCCCCGCCCGCCCGCAGGGCAGGAGCAGGGGATGGCTCTCCCCGCAGAGGCAGCGGGACGCGCTGGCTCCGGCGCTCCTCCAGGAGCAGGGGCAGAGCCGGCCCTGGCTCCACAGTGGGCGGGTGCTGCCTTGGCTCTGGCTCTCCTGGAGCTGCTGCTGGAGCTGACGGCGGCGTTGGCCCTGGTGCTGCTACAGGTGGCAGTGCAGCTCTTGACGGAGGAGCCTCGGCTCTGGATCTCGCTTTAGTTCTGTTGCTGCTTCTGCAGCTGAATCTAAATCTTCAGATTGTACAGGAGCTGGTGCTGGAGCCACTCTAGATGCTGAGACGGCAAGGAAGCTGCAAGAGGAGATCCACACGTCTGCCTCCCCACCGTGCCTTTGCAAAGGAGAAAACTGCCACTGCCTTTTACAGAAGCTCCAGCACAAGAACGTGCTACGGGACGTCTCCCCTGACTGCAGTCCACCAGATGGGCGCTCTGAGGCCAGCCTTTGCTCCTGGCCAACACCAGGAGCTCCGCCCTGTGTGGCCCAGGACTGACCCTCCCCGGGCGCTCTCCTTTTGGCTCTGCTTCAGTGGACGCCAGGTCCTCCAGCCGGGCCAGGAGAAGGTGGGCGCGGCACTCCAGGTCTGAGTCTGGCATGTTGAACTGCATGGACAGCTGCATGCAGTCCGGGGGCTGATGGAAATCCTCTGGGTACTGGTCCAGCCAGGTATCCAGGTTGGAGGAAGTGACACTAAGGGTAGGCGTGTGGGCAGCAGAGTCGGAGGCCTGGCCTCTTCTTCCATGCGGTCTTCCCTTGGTACCTCTGTGGGGTGGGGGCTGAGCTCCTGGGCCCGCCCCTGCCCATCCAGAGGCCAGTCCACCCCAGCCCACCCCCACGTGACGGTCCAGCAGGGGCAGGCCTGGTCAGCAGGCTGGGCCTGCGAAGTCTCCATGGGAGGGAGCCCTCCGTCAACACTGGGACCACCTCTCCCTTCCTCGGGGAACCCGACGCACTCCTGCCTGTCCCCCGGCACCTCCCCACTGGAATGTCAACTCCACGAGGACAGGGAGGGCGGTGCCTGCTCTGTTCATCGCACTGGCGGGCGCACAGTAGGTGCTGCATGCACATGTGCGGGAGGAGGGACCAGGCGGAGTGTGTCCTGCTGCCCAGCCTTCACGGGGCCCTCGTGGCACCTCAGCCTGCTGCTCATACACCGCTGTGCTGTCTTACTCTCTGTGAGGCCTGTGTGGGTCTCGTCTCCACCCCGACACTATCCTCGGGAATGGGGACACAGCCGGCCCAGCCCCACATGCAGCTGGCCTCGCAGGACTGAGGCACCAGGCTGATGTGTGAGCAGGTGGCTCCCCACACCTCCTTCCTGGGCCCTCGGCTCAGGGGGTGCCTAGCAGGGCTGGGATGGGCTGTGGTGGGGATGGATTCTCTCAGGGGCCAGCTCTGAGCCCCCAGCCTCCTCTCTGCTCCCCAGGGGGCCCGGGACCCCATCTGCAGCTCTCTGACTCCTTTCCTCCTACAGGAGAAGCCCCCAGACCTCAGCCCTCTAGCAGGAATCACGAGATGTGTGGGAGCCAGGGGACTGCCCGGCCCTCCCGCGCCCCCAGCCACAGCCCCTCAGATCCCATTAGACCCGAAGCCCACTCACTTTCTCAGTTGGTCCTGGGGTCCACCGTCCTCGTCGGAGTAAGGGAGGATGCATCCATATCTAGAGGAGGCCGTGAGGGCGTCACATCTACCGTACCTGATATGATGTCTAGTGGGACTGGCTGACTCCCCAATCAGACTGGAGCCCAGGAGGACACGGGTTTTCGTGTCTGTACATGGCGGGTTGGGGGTCTTCATACACATTTGCTGAATGAATGAAGCCCAGCCAGCACCTTGCTGACGTCCGAGTGGGCCTGGGACCCGGGCAGTCCCCAGGGCTTCCTGCTCTGCCTGCACCCAGGCTGGGACCACCCCCCAGGGAATTGGAAGGCTCCTTCAGAAATGGGAAAGCAGCTGTGCCCAAGGCCACAGGGTGCTGAGGCTTGAGGCAGATTGCTTCACGGGGGAGAGGAAAGTCCTAAATCAGGACAACCACAGCCCTTGGCAGCCCTGCCCACAGGGCCAGGCCTGAGCAAACTGAGGCTCAGAGAGGTGAAGGGACACTCCCAAGACACACAGCCAGGAGGTGGGCAGGGAGCCACGGTGCTGTGCAGGGGCGGGGCGCCCACCTTTTGAACAGCAGGTCCAGGACCTGCTGGGTGGTGAAGGCTTGGCAGGTGCACAGGAGGAGGGTGACACAGGAGAGGTGGCTGCCGCGGAAGCCAGGTACGAGGTGCTCCACAGCTTCTCCAGCGTGTCTGCACTGACTGCCCCCACCCTGCACCTCCCACCCAGGTACACGGTTGACTCATTTTCACACTGGGACTCATGTTTGGATAAAGAGGGACAGCTCAAAAGACAGACAGTAGGAAAATACTCGTGCTCGTGTCCTGAAGTGCAGCGGTGTGAAAGATTGGCTCGGAGAGTCTTGCAACCATGTGAAAAGTGACTTTGCATTTGGCCAAGGCTGGGCTGAACGGTGTGGGTGAAGGGACAGGCCCAGCTCCTTGGGTTGGGACTGTGGCCGCTCTTGGGGCAGAGCCCTGGGTGGGCCTCTGCGGATGGCTGGCAGCGTCCGGGCGGGAGGCCTTCCTCCACTGCAGACCCTCCATGGCGGCACTCTGTGCTCCAAATCCGCCGTGAGCCCCGCTCTCCCAGGCCTGGCTCCGGTGCCTGCAGCTAGTGCCCCCAAGACACCAGCTGATTGGGCGTGGCCCCGCCAGGGCCCACGGGAGGCCAGCTCGAACAAGGCCTGTCAGCCACCGGCGGCAGGACGGGAGGCTGGCCCCTCCTGTCCTGGTCTCAGGCACACTCAGTCTCTTGTGGCCGTTTCTGGCCTTTTCTCTTGGAGCTCGTCTCCAGGGTGGCAAACTTGGTGGTCCCCTTCCTCCAGGGCCAAGGATGGGGTTAGTAAGGCCACCCCCCCCCTTCACCTAAGCCCCTCTAGAGCCTCCACAGCGAGTTCAGAAGAGGCCCAGGCCCTCCCTGGCAGCTCTCTGGGGAGCGGCCCCCACCCCTGCTCAGCCCCAGCGGCCTGCGCCCCTCTAGGTCCTGCCCACTCCTGAAACT